AGAGTTCTAGCTATGAAAGGAGAAAAATATAACAAAACAGGGCAAAAACTTTATGGTTCAATCAATTTGACCCAAAAAGGAAATATGAGAATATTTGGAGCTTCCACCTGATTAAACAAGGCATATAATACTGCAAACTAATGAGAGAACATATTTTGATAACCATATGGGGAAATCCGGTAAGTTCTATGGTGCTTCTTGATATGAATTAAATATATGAGAGGGATATTGTTTACACTCTACCTATTCCACTTTGAAGTTTGACCTCTCTTTTGAACTTAAAATATTTCATTCTCCTTTTAGAAAGAGATGAGGAATCATTAAAATAATTTCTTTTTCAACAATATTAAATATTCTCCAAAGAAAAAATCATTAGGGAATCTTAAAGCAATGAAAATTAATCAAAACACATATGTCACAACAAATTTTCTTGGCCACTTCTTTGGCTTATACTTTTTTTCAGCATCAAAAGTCAAAAAGATTCAACGTAGTGGGCCGGTTAAGACATGATATTTTACATGAATACAACTTTTACCCCTAAAGTTTGCCTTAATAGATTCACATTAGGGTTTCCATACGAGGATTCCACTAGAAACATCTGGACTAAACAAACCAAAAAGGCTGTCTTAGATCACACAAGTCACAACCTATTAATTGAATCGTGACAAGGAAAGTTGAGTCCTTTATCCAACAAGAAAAAATTGGTAAAATTAAGTCAAGGCGAGAAAAAAAGCAATAGGCATGGAATTTTTTAGCTTGAAGTTTTCTAGTTTGAGAAGCTATTACATGATTTTATCAAACATGAGGAAGGAGGAAGGGAAATCCCCGCCTTCAAGAGGGCTATGTGGCTCTGTCGCCGGAAAGGAACTCATGTGTTAGTTTTCTTGAAATATAAAGTTTCATCTAGAAATACTCAAAACTTTAGGAATGGGGGTCAATATATACAGTATACTGTCCGCAGATTGCACAAGTCTTGCACATAGAAAGTACCAAAGGAGACAATAGGGTTTTTTTTTTTTTTTTTTCGAAAATGATAACAGTTGTATAATCTAATCTATTCTACGCTAAAGGAAAGGGGCGGAGTTAAGGAGGCTTAGGGATAATTCGGAGGGACTGAACAGCCCAGCTCTTTTTGGTTCTTAAAAAGAAACAGCAGAAGCTGGGTTTTTTTTTTTAAAGAGAGAAAATAAGGTGACAGTGGGAGTTTGAGTATGGAAGGTACAATGACCCAGGTGGGAGATTTACAAAAGAGTAAAGAGCTGGCTTGCACCTTTCCTATTATGACATGTTTGCCAATATTGGTTGGCTGTCACGTGGCAGGATATTATTTGATATCTTTCTTTATATAATGCATGAGCAATAGGTGTTAGAAAAATTTGTCATTATTTATTATTCTAATTTTATTTTTTTATTTTATTTTTATAGAATAAGTGAAAGAATTCAAATTCGGGATCTCTCACTTATATTCTCTCCTCCGAAACCACCGAACCAATCTCTGTCCCAATTCTAATTTTATACTTGTATGATAGAGCAATGTACAACCATTTCATATTCCACACTCCCATATTTACATAATACTCTACTATTATCCTTGTGTACTATTACTATATTTATCCCAAGTCTTCCTACTAACTTTAATGAAAAATCAAAAAAATTCCAATACTCTCTAATTAATTCCTTTGTTGCAACTAATTTGTTATTCTATATTTTTTTCCTAAAGTATGCAGTCACATACAGTGTGTAGATAAACTAGAAATATCTATATTTGGTCCATTTGGATTGACTATTTTAGGGAATTTTTTGAAATATTTTACTGTAATAATGTATATGAAAAACTTTTATTATAAATGTTTTTAATGATATCTTTGAGAGTGTTTTTTGAAATATATATATATTTTAGAATATTTTTAAGATTTAAAATTTTAATGAGGAATTTTAAAATTTCAGAAAACTTTACCACTATCCACCACACCACCACCGCTACCCCTTTACCCATCCCTCCCTCTTCTTTTCTCCCTTTTCTCCTTCCTTCTCCTCCATTTCTTCCTCTCGCTTCTTCCTCCCCTCCTCTCCTTCCTCCCCTTCCCTCCCTTCTCCCTACCTTTTCCCACAAGCCCCTTGCCCTTACCCCTTCTCTGGTCACGACCAATGACCAGATTGGTCGTGGGCGGCGACCATAGAGGGGTGAGGGGGAGGAGCATTGCAAGAGAGTTTGGAATGGGGGAGAGGAGGGGAGGAAGCGGAAGAGGAGGGAGGGGAAGGAAGAAATAGAGGAGAAAGGGGAAGGGAAGAGGGAGGGGGAAGAAAGTAGGGGAGAGAGGCGAGAAGAGAGTAGAGGAGAGGTGGTGGCGTGTGATTGTGGTTTGTGGTGGTGGGTGATGGGTGAAGAAAAAAGAGATAGGTTTATTTATTTATTTTAGTGCATTTGAGATGTGTTGTGTTTTTTGAATTGTTTTTGAAGTTAATTTTAGAATTTATTACTGTAGATTTGAAAGACATTAAAAAACTTTGGAATCCAATTATGTTGATAATTAAAGAAATAATTTCTTAGGCAAAATTTTAATAAAAAACTAATGCTATTTCCTTAAAAGCTTGCTGTTTAACTAAATAAAATACATTTGTTTATCTTTACTACATGATATATATTTGTAAACTGTGATAAAAGGAAATTGAGTCTTTTATTGATATTTATATGTTCATAATATATATTTACAAATGTAATAATTAATATTTAAAAGTATTCTATTTGTAAATTTGCTATACTATGATAAATATTTTATTACATATTTTCATAGATATAATTTTAGTGATCCATTTGGTTCAACAATCAACTTACCGATTGAACTAGTAATCCACCCATTTAGTCTTTTTGCAATGTTCCTTGATCGGTCGAGTTTAATAACCATGCTAATTATTGTCCACGGTCCGCTAAAAATTCTTTAATATTTGAAAACCCAGGTGCCCCTAAGATAATCAGCCAGTAAAGTACTGCCCATGCTAGTTTACTAGTTTACTTCAGAGTTCAGATCTACAAGACCCAATTCCACCATTTTAGCATGTCTTACTTGGTCCTCATCCTCAATTTCCCACCTCTCTTCAGAAGACAAAATTCATCCACGCGTGCACGTGACTTTACTGTACATTCGCTGGTACTTATGCAATTCCACCTAAATGATAAATCAGGTCCAACAACATCAAACCCGTTTCCTGTCCTCCAGCCCACACATCCTTGACGAAAAATTCCTACATTGGGACCCAATCAACATAAATTACAAACTTTTAATCGTTGTAGCATGTGCATTGAAACTTCCTAGTCACATTTTCTTTTTGCTAGAGGGAGAAGACCTACTTAATCTTATATATATTTTTTACAAACAATATTAGTAATATATTTCAAAAATATTTTAAATACAATCTCAAATACGTCTAATATAAATACCAAAAAAGTTAAAAATAAAACAAATCCTATCATTATTTCTTTCTCCACACACCAGTCACCACAACACTAGTTTCGAATTTCTATCCCTAAATTAGTCTCTATCTCCTCTATTTCTTCTTTGTACAGTTGCCACGTTTCTCCAATTTTTTGATAATCCAAATTCAAACAAATCGATAATAATCCATTGACAAATTTATTCAAAACCAATTGAAACAGATAAATCAAAACTTTTAGACTTTTGGATAAATCAAACGGTTCCAACAACTTAAAACTATTTTTTTCTTTGGATAAATCAAGCGATGGTTTCCTTATCAGAATTTCTTCAACTCTAGCTTACATAAAGAAGAAGATTGCAAATTTTGGTTTTAAAGAAACTTGTCAACGGATTATTATCGGTTTGTTTGAATTTGTGTTATCAAAAAGTTAGAATACATAACAACTATACAAAGAAGGACAGAGAGGATAAAAACTAATTTGGAGATAGAAAATTCGAAGTGCAACCACCACCCACCACATATCACCATTGCTGCCGCACCCCCTTCCCACCTTGTTCCCCACCACCTCTCTTCACACTCCTATACTGTCTCTTCCTCCCCTTGTTTCTTCCTTTTTACTCTTTCTTTTCCTCTCCTCCCTTTTCTCTCCTCTCTTCCTCTTTCTCCGCAAAATACATGAGCCCTTAAGTTTTGTGCTATTTAAACTATAATTGTGCATTACTGCACACCTTTATGATTTTTTTTAAGTATAGGATGGCTAAGTCAAGAGAAAGATTTTGACAACTTAACAAATTGGTTCATAATTTCATAATCATGATTTTTTTTTCAAATTCAAGTTTTAAATTGTTGTTGTATCGCATCACTTGGAACTTTTTTTTTCAGAAATTGAATAGCATCACAAAAAAAGAAAAAATAAAAAAATAGCATAAATGAATATTTACTTATTGGATCATTAAATGTCATTAACTCATTTTATTTTACACACTTCAATCTCTAATCTCTATACTTCCCCATTAAAATTAAAATTTAAAAGAAAAATCTCTTACTAATGACATTGTTCTAGCAAAAAATATTTCTTGTTTCATGTGTGAAGCACAAATCTATTCTCTTTTTTACTCATATAAACATTAATGATTCCATCAACTTACAATTTCTATATACACAAAAAATTGCACCTCAAATTTACTCATAATGCATTTACCGCAGGAAGATGTTTGAAAACTTTTTATTGACATTTACCATGTAACTTTTTGTGATATAATTTATGCATGTAAGGATATTTAAGGATTAATTGTGATTTTTAGTGGCTTTTTATTGATTGATATATACAATATATAAATAATTTAAACTAACTAGCATATAATTTTTCGCGTGCCAACTGCCAAGTCTGGTCTTACCGAAAATAGAGGGGGGGGGGAAGCTAATTGACATGGCAGAATCCTATTTGTCCTTTGCATTCACATATGACATCCTCCACGTTGGCACAATCAGGACCGTCCGTTATTTCTATAAATGACCAAGGCCTCTCCTTGCTCCTAACCCTGGTCTCTATAGATATGGTAGGTTTCGTTCCCATTCTCTCTCTGTCCTCTTTTCTCTCTCTCGTCTCGTATTCTCTCTCACACACTACACACACTAAATCATATCAGATCTTCCCCTCCGTCTCTCTCTCTCTCCCTCTCTCTATATATATGGCATAGATTCACGCATTAAACCCGGAGGAAAGCTTGTCCAGAGTGCTACTCTTTTACGGCCGTCTCTAATTCGCTTGGTGCAGGTCGGGAACTGCTTTTCCCACGACGTCGTTGGGTGATTTCTGATGAATGATGTTTCTGGTGAATTGAAGTCCCGCCTTGCATCAACTGAATCAGAGGCCGCAGTAAAAAATTCAGAAAATTTCGTATCGAACAGCGTCGCATCGGATCGTCTAATGACTTTAGGTTTGGATTTGAATATGCTTTTTTTTAATTATTTATGTATATACTGTTGATTGTTTAGGAAATGGATTTTATCTATCTTGATCTAATCGTACAGGTATTGGATTTGTTAGCATTTGATTGAAATAATAGATCTGTGTTTGGTTAATTATGAATTCATTAGATTTGTCAATTTTTTCCTGCAATCGATACAAGATCTATTTGTTTATATAATATGCACCTTTATATGCATTTTACACAATGTTTTTTGTTGCAGACGCAATTTTTATGTGTTTGGAAAGAAATGATAGGGACTAAGCTAAAGGCAATTGATGAATTGAGTAGCTTGTTCAATGCTAGATATGGATGATTAAGGAAAGAGGATGAAAGGCGATTGATTGTTAATAGTTAAAAGTATAATTATATTGCAAAAATAGTTGGTTTCATTTATAGGAAGATTTGATGCTTTTGAAGTTTCTGGCTACGTTTAGGAATATATTCGAGGAATCACTTTTCCAGAATCAAAAAAAAAACTTGAATTCGGCAAAACTGCTGCATCCCTGTCACTCAGCCTTTATTGGTTTTTGGAATTTTTTGAACTGGACAATCTGTCTGTGTCGCTTAGCTTCAGCTGTTTTGATAAATGCTGCCGAGACAGCTGACATCTAATAGTCGGCTTGTTATGCTGATTTTGGTGCCAGCTGTGGTTTGAAACGTCTATTATCAAATGTTCCATCTGGATTTGTTTGATCTAACTACGGCTCTCCTTCCTTTTTTTTTGTTGTTGTCCCGAACTTCTTCCTGTCTTTTCCGCAAGGCTTACTATGCAAGAGTTGGAAGTTAATAATGAACCAATTAGTTGGACCCTAGTTAGAAATTTCAGATATAGGTGCTTTTGTAGCTGCAATTCATCACGTGGAATAGAACACCACAAGTATTCTTTTGTTAGCTGTTTTACATGGACTAGATTTTGTTTATTTGATGTGATCAGCTGGAGCCAGTTGAACTAAGTGGTGAACTGCTGTCAGTAAGATTTCGGAATTTCAGTTTTTATGTTTGAAATTGCAGTGTTAGTTGTGAGGTACTTGATGTATGATATGTTTTTCTTTATTTTTCATTTTTTTAAAAGAAATAGTATGACTGCCTTTAAGGCATAAATATGTCTCGAGAAACCTCAGTAAATTAAGACTAAATAATAGCAGGTACATATGACAGCCAGATCTAAGGTGGTGAAGCTTGTCGTAATTAGAGCTTTGTTTCTGGAATGTACTTCCGTATCTTGCAAGCTACGTTTACGTTATGAAAGCCTTACTTACCTACTATTGGGTCAATGGTGGAATTTACGTGTTGCTGTTCCAGTATTCAGGTTAACTCTGTTTCTTTCATGAAAGACAGTATATTTTCTTGAGTAGTTTCTGCAGTCTTGCGAATCACGAGCTGACTAAAGCCTAAGAAGTCGACACACTAGACTCACTTCTTTGAAGCACTATGTTTAGGATCTAACTCTCCTCTCATGCAGATGTTTTCAATATTATTGTCAATAATCAGCTGTCGTAGACACAATATCTCTTGCCCTAAATGTGAGCACAAAAGCATAGAATTTTCATCTAGTACATATGAAGAACAAGCCGCACTCTCCTCTATGTAATGTTTTGTTTTTGTTTGTAAATTGTAATATGTTCTTGTCACAATATAACTACCTGTTAACTTCCCTCCCACTGTTCCACATCATTTCAGCGACTTACTTTTTGTGGTTTGCTATTCAAATGTCAAACCATGAAAGCATACTAATTTGGCATTTTCTTGGTAGTAATTAGTAATGTTTAAACTATTCTAATGTGTTTTTCTAAAAGTATCTTTTAGTTGCATCGTCGAGGGTGATAGGTTTTTGAATGGTATTACTCAAGAGGTTATCATGACATGCTTGACAAAAATAAAATATTTAATTTGTTTCTGTCTATATCGAACTATCCAATATCTTGCCTACATTAGTTGAGTTTAAAATTTTAAAATGGTGGATGGAATGGACCTGTTTCTTTTAAAATAAGGGTGAATAGGATCACAATTATAAAAGGTAGTCTGATGCAATCAACAAGTTGTTCGGTGCATGCACATTCCTTGAAGATGAGCATTTGTAGCTGGAGTGTATCAATCAAGAGTTTTTATCCTAAGCATCAATTTACTAGGAATCTAATCAACCAACAATTTCAGGAGTGAAGGTTAGGTCCTTACATTATTCGCAAGAACTTTTTGGTTGTTCTATGTTTTTAAGTTTTATTTTTATTTCCTTTTTTTTGGTAAGTAATTCCATTATCGAGTTGAATTAGTTTGACTATATTAGGATAGAAAACTAACTGTTGTCCTAGTTATTCTGAGAGTTTAAGAAGTTATTGCTGTAGATAATACAAAGAGTTGACTTTTAAGAATTTAGTTGCATGATTCTTCTTCCAAAAATCCCCAAGACCTTTTCTTTTTGCTTTCCTGTTCTGTTGTTGCTGTTCACAGGTACTTTTCACAGTTATGAAACAGTTATAAATAATTGTATTCTTCCATATTGTAGGCAAGATTAATCCTAGCTATCTTGCCCTACATCAAAATGTCAACTACTTCACAGCAGGTTGTTTGCTCTAGAGGCATAACGTGTTTCTAAAATTTGTGAAGGGGCAAATGACACGTTTTGAAGTGGTTGGAACTCCCGTTTGGGGATAATATTACTGGGGAAGTTTACCTTTTGCAATTTGAGACCTTTTCATGTTTTAGCTTTTGAAAAACAGTCTAATTTTTCATTCTTAGTATTAGACTTTTCATCTGAAACTTTTAGGCATCCACACATTAATTTATGATTTTCTATGACTATGTTTAATAATGGATCTACCTGCTGTTACTTTTTGAAATTGGAATTTGCATTTACTCTGTACTGCATTTGTTGAAAATTTTGTTATCAGACGCCATGAATGTTGTAGGATAATTCTGCATTATAACTTTAGCTTTGGAGAAAATGCTAGCAGATTTTCCTTTCCTCCCCTTGCAATAAAACTCAAATAAAAAATGTGTTTTGCTGTTTTCTAAAAATGCTTATTGTTTTACAATTTGTGGTGAATTAATTTTATCAATTTTATGTTGTTATCTAGGCATTTTTGGGAGGTATTATTTCAAGATTGATGTAAACCACATCCTTCCCTTGCAATAAAACTCATAGAAAATGTTTTATGCTGCTCTTGAAAAATGTATATTGTTTTACAATTTTTGCGATGATTAATTTTATCAATTTTATGTTATTATCTAGACATTTTGGGAGGTATTATTTCTAGATTGATGTAAACCACATCCTCTTTTTTTTTTTTTTCTTTTTTCTTTCTAATTAAAAGAACTATGTATATATACACATTTGTATCATATCCTGTCAAGAGTCCTAATCAGTTTTTCGCAGCTTAATTCTATGTGCACGTTCCAATCTAGTGATATCTGGGAAGGATATTAACTTCTAGACTTGCCATTTGAACTGTGTAGAAATTGTGTCATGGTACCAAGACGAAAACAATTCTCGTTCTCTCTTTGAGGAAAATCAAAAAAAGGAAACAAATAGGCGTTATGCTGCATATTTGCTATAACTGGATATTTTGCATTCCATTGTTATTCATGGTTAAATACAAATATAGCTTGAGATCTATGGTGTTTTAAATCAAACATTTAGAATTGAAAATACATCTTGACGTCCTATCATTCCTTCAGCTCATACTCTGGATATGATATGGTTAATGCTACTAAGTAGGAGTTACCGAGCACAGATATTCCTAGGCTCAATTTGAGGATTGATGGTATTAAGCTTTTATCCTTATGGGGGAAGAGTTGTCTTTTTGAAGTCTATTCTTTCTTCTTTACTGGCATATGCAATGCAAACTTACCAGCTACCTCTTGCAGTTACTCACCAACCGTGGGTATAGTAGTGCTACACGCTTCATACTATAGACCTGACATTCGTAGTCTCTAAACTTGAGGATTAATGGTATTAACTATGAAATCCTTTTTTCTTGTGGGGAAGATTTGTCTTGCTGAAGTCTATTGTATCTTCTTAATCCGGCATGTGCATTGCAAACTTATGGCTACGCGTTGCAGTCACTCACTAACTTAATCATCTTCATTGTGCTTCTTTTGGAACCCCAGATCTATGAATGAGAGTCTTTGGTTAGTGTAATGCATGTCTGTGCTGTTAAGTCTCCGTTGCTTGCAAGTAGACTGGCAATCATGTCCAAAACCCAACAATCCACCAACCCACCCACTAATTTCAGATGTTGGGTTGGGTAATTTGGATGTTGGATCAATTTGGGTTGGGTAATAAAAACCTTAGATATATTTTGGACGGGTTGGGTATTTGTGTTGGGTGCATTACCCACTTCTACTTTCATTTGACAGAGATGTAAAACTTGTTCTTATTGTCTTCTCTTAGTTTGTGTAACGGCTGATGGCCAGCCGTAAAGGTGGCATTTGTAGCTCCGAGATCACTTTGTATTGCAAGGGCAGAGGCACATAGCGTAAGGGAGGCTGGGAAATGGTCTACAGCCCAGATTTGACAGCAAATTTTCCCGTGCAACAGAAAATTATTAAAGCTTATTACATGGCTGCTTTATGCATAGGCTGCTGGCGACCATGCATTACACAGTTCTCGTGATCCAAGTTTTGTTGTAGTACTAAGTACTTTATATCCAAAGTTTTCAGCAACACACCTGCAATACATATGTACAAGAACTGAAAATTGGAAAACTCTAGTCTAATGAATTACTTTATTGAAAATGGTTACCAAACGTTTAGGTGTAGTGGCAGGAGGCAATGTTAACTAGCACAATTTCTCAATTTGCAAATTTGGAAGTTATCTTTTAGGATGCAACATGATTCATTTTGTGTTTTATTTCTAATTTCTAATTTCTCCATTTTACAACAGCTCAGATGTGTTATCCTGCATGATTTTTGTGTTTATTTTTTGGGTCAAAATTTCAGTTTATAACTTTTTTAAAGTGTGATTGGATCCAAATAGTTTAAACAGTTAGTACATATGTGTGTATTTGTGAAAGTATATTTGTGTGTATTTTAGTGTGTTTGTATGTGTAAAAATAATGTATTTCAAAGAACTTAAAAAGTGAGTGTGTGTTTATATCTGTGAGTGTTTTAGTATGTGAAATATATCTATTATGTGAAAATGTATTTATATGTGTGAATTTTTTTTTTGTATGTGAAAATATATTTGAGAGAGTTTATGTATCAAAATCTATTATTTAATATATTGGGTCATATTTGGATCATGGGTTTGAGATAACCTAATATGATCCAGCCAAAATTAACCAACCTAAAGTTGGATGGGTTGGATGTAACCATTTAAATAAAACCAACATCAACCCACCAAAACTCGTCCAATCCGCCCAATTGCCAGGCATACTTGCGAGGGAGGGGCGGGGGGAACAGTGGCTTTGGGATTTCAAGTATTTGAACCGTCTGATATCTTAAATTAGCTTCGCGTCTCTTCCAGGGACCAAGTACTCTGTGAGCTGCTATACCTAAAAACACGATGTTTTAGAATGCTTTCCTGCTGGCTATCTGCAGCAGATTCTTGGGCATGAAAGGGATTGCTCACAATGATGAGAACGGGACTTTCTCGGCAAATAGATAATGGTGCTCGGTTAGACTGTGGGATAATATTTGGGCGATAAGCTCCCTTTAGAACGCTCAGTTGCAATTAATTCCTCTAGCCTTTCTAATGTATTTCATCTTATAGCCTCAGGTAGTAAAATTAGGCATTTAGATCATCGAGTAGGCATTCCTTTTCAAACATTTTGCTCATTAACAAAGGTCTATTACTTCCATCTGAAAACAAAGCTACCTCTATCAATGCATTCCTCTAACTTGCAACATAGTTTCGAATCTCGTTTGTCACTTGTCGAACAAGTATCTCAGCATCAACAGCTTTGCCTTGAAAAATCCTGCAATTTCTTTCCCTCCAAAAGCTGTACACTGCTGCCCCTAGGCACAACTTCTTCATTTTGGTAGTAAAACACTCACTCTTTGAATGATGACTAAGCCATTCGATTTTAGTCCTCCATTCATAAGCTCCTCGATATTGCAAGCTATAATGCTGGAGTTTTGATCAAACATAAGCTGTATACTCACATTCAAAGAACAAATGATCACAAGATTCTCTATCGGTACAACATAAAACACAACTTGTATCTGTAACCACCCCCTAGTTATACAAGCTGTCCTTAGTTCTTAGCCTATCCTTACACAGCAGCCATAGGATAAATGAGTACTTTGGAATGCACTTTTTGAACCAAAAATGGTGGTGACACTGCAGATTTAATTGAAAAGGTACCATTCTTACAACTTACAAGCCAACCATCTTACTGAGTCTTGGATGTCAATTTCAAGGATTGTCTAAATGGGAGATGTACAAAATCCTCAACGGCAGCCGTTCTCCTTCTACCCGTGGAAATCTTCCAATTTCCATTTTCTATAATAGTAGAGACTAGCTTGCAGCTAGCTTCCAAACTGTCTTGCTATATCAGGACCATAGGCTGTCAACAAAGGTCCTCTAGGGTGCCAGTTACCATACCAGAGAAAGGTGTTCTGACCGTTATTGATCTCTGAAATAATAAAAGGATGCACTAAAGGCCTTAAGTTGAAATAACTTTCGCCAAAACCAAGAACATGACTGAGGAATAGGAATAGCCCAGAAACATTGA